CGGAGGCGCCGGGTCATACAGATTAGAAGATATGGAGGGAAAACTTGTAACGCGACCGTGGAATGTGATGAATCTAAAGAAATACTATTTTTGAGTATTTGTCTCCCTCAGTGCTTGCCAACGACAAAGATAAAGGGCAAGGCCCTGGGGACAGAGTACAAAGACTCTCGGCCCCGAAACAAACACAGGAGCAAGCCTCCTGGAAGGGCAAGGCCCTGGGGACAGAGTTCAAAGACTCTCGCCCCCGAAACAAACACAGGAGCAAGCCTCCTGGAAGGGCAAGGCCCTGGGGACAGAGTACAAAGACTCTCGGCCCCGAAACAAACACAGGAGCAAGCCTCCTAGGACAGTTCAAGGATTCCTACGAAAGTATACGCAAGAAAGAATTCAGAAACATGAATCACATTCTATTCAATATTAGACCTTTAAACAGAACTTTGTTAAAAAAAATAAATAATATACTCCAGGCGAAAAAATTCAATTCAAAAAGAGGGGCTTTGCGTCCCCAAAAGCTACAAGGGAAAAAGTACAGATCAAAAAGAAAAAAGGGCTTTCATCTTGCCCCGGGCATCTCCAAAACATCCGCCGATGGCGAATCGGCGTAGAAAGGTTGAGCAGCTTCGGGAGCAGGCGGAGCGGGAGGTACTTCGGCGACAGAAGGACCCTGAGGAATATTATGGTCCGGGTCCCGGTCCGGCAGGGCCTCATCAGACAAATCCACTATTACCGCCTCAGGCAGATCCACCGAAACTTGCACCGGCGTTGGAATCTCGCCCTCGGCAGCAATCTCTGCTTCGGCCCGTTCCATCTCCGCCGAGGGCACGTACTTGTGCATCTGAAAGAGCGGAGAGTCTGACGGGATTCCAGCAGACTGGAGCGCCTCGTCCCACCCCCTCTTGAAGAACTCCTTGCTGTTTTCCTCAAGAGCAGGGAGCACGTCATCGGCGAACTCTTCTCGGAGTTGCTCCTCGGACTTCCTATTCAGTGCCTCATCCCTGATCCTGTCCAGCTCCTGGGTCAGAGCCAGACAGCTTTCCTCTGAACCAACAGCCCTCTCCTCTGCCGCAGAGAGCCGCTGCGTCTGTTCTGTTATCCTCCTCTCAGCGTCGGCAAGGGCAGCACTTAGCTTTTCAGCGCCGACCTTCGCCAACTCGGCCTCCTTGAGGAGTTGCTCGATTTGAGCAGCCTGCCCCGCGAGGGTGGAATCCCTTGCAGCGACATCCTCCCTAGCACTGGCAAGGGCTCCCTCGGCTTCTTCCTTCTGCTCTCGAACCCGCTGAAGGTCCATCCTAGTCCCATGGTACCGCGCCGCTATTATGGAAATCTGTTGGGTGGCCTGCAAATGAAAGAGCATGTCACTAAAAGGAAAATTGGGGCTAAAAGAGACTGAAGCAAAGATGAACTTACCACCAAGGAATTTTGGATGATGGAGCGAAACAACACGTTTGTTGATCGCCCCCTGTGAGCCGCCATGTCGGCCTCGAAATGCAGCGTCTCACTCACTGCATTGGCGACATGAGGGTCCTGCAAAATGGAATTGTCGACCCTGATCACTCGGTCCATGTGATCAGTGGCTCGAGGGTTCCACTCCGCAGCTTCCACTGTCTGCGGAAGAGGAGGAGTCTGCTGTCGCCGCTGTTGCTGTTGCTGTTGCTGTTGTTGCTGCTGTTGCTGAGGAGCAGGAGGTAACCCACGACCTCTCCCACTTTGCTGCTGAGCGGGGGAGGCCCTGGATCCCCTCCCAAGGCCGTCGTGCCTATGTTTGACCCTCCTCTCCTCCTCTATCTGAGGATCTCGGTCACGCACCTGACCCCGACTGACGACTCTTGAGGAGGGGGTGGCGCTGGTCCCTGCAGATGGGGTCCCACCGGTCGATCCTCGTCCCCTCCCAGCAGCGAGGGCTTGCCTCTGCCTAAGGAACCCTAAATCAATACGGGGCGCGCTGGACATAGCTACCTCAAGGGCGTCCTCGACGTCGAGAGATTGTAGGATTTGGAAGTCCGGCCAGGAATCTCTCCCCGAAGTCCCCACCTCGGCGTGCGAAGGAACCAAGTCCTCTCCGACCCCGAGCTCTTCAACTTCACCCTCAACTTCAGCCTCTGAGGCTCGATCAGGGTCTTCTTCCAAGTTCTCCTCAACTTCTTGCCCCGTCGCCTGATCAAAGAGTTCAGACCACCGAGAAGGCTCGAAAGGCTGGGGAAGCTGCGAAAACTTTTTATACCCGGGGGTGTAATTCAGGAGGATGTGGGCAGCCCGGCCGAGCCCGTCGTCGCCAGTAAAATTCCAAACAGTGATTAAGTCAGCAAAATTCACCGACGATCGGGGTGGAGGTGCTGTTTCCCGAGGGGAGATGTCTGCACAAGCAAAAAGAGGGGAGTGGGTCATGAGCATGTAGAAAATTCAGAAACAAATAATAAGGCCCGAAGGAACCGACGTACTTGTCGTTCTCCATTCCAATGGACATAACAAGCCGTCATACTCGGGACCGACACCTCTCTGCCAAGATCCCCTGAAGATGAGTAGGTCATCCTTGTACCCCTTGTCCGAGTCAGGAAGGTGAGTTACGAGGTACATAGATGGGTCCCTGGCTTTGAGGTAGAAGTGTTGTTGAGGCGTAACTCTCAAAAGGGAATAACAAAAAAGGATATCGTCCAGCCCGACGTTTATCCCAAGACGCCTATTGAGCTCTAGCACCCCCATAATTATCCTAAAGACATTAAGGCAACACTGCCAAGAGGTGAAAATGAGAGAGGAACTGAAGAAGCAGAGGGGGCAAAGGGAACCTAATTCCGCCTTCTATAATGACTTTAATATAAAAAGGCATTGCATCCTCGGTACCGAGGGTACGAGGGTGCACAGCCGCGTCATAATCCTCTACCTCTACATTAGGTGGAACGCCATACCTAACCCTAAATCTATTAATTTGTTCACTACCTTTTACTTTATACTTCCCTGGCCTCGAAGTACTAGCCTGAGGATTCTCGGGGGCAGAACGACGACGAGACATGTTCAAGAAGTGATAAAAATAGAGGGGTTTTTCCACGAAGATCCCTAAGAAGGCTTCCCGGGGGTTGATCGCTGGATGACAACCAGAAAACACCTCCGGTAATCGAAAAACCAAAAGAGACAGAAGGGCAAAGAAATGGAGGATACTGGAACTCACTAGAGCGTAAGAAGAGGTATTTTTTCTGAAAAACTTGAATCGATTCCTTTCTAGAATGTTCAGAAACAAAGGATGGGTCTGCTAGCTTTAAAGCTTCAGTGAAAAGGTTGGGCAGTTAAGAAACAGAAGGGAAGAGGTCTCCGGCGAAGATTCAGGCAAGGACTCTCTGGAAGAAAAGTTCAGAATGACGAAATGAGAAAAAGAGGGAGGAAGCCCAATTATATAGTACCGGTCTCATCATTGGGCGCGAAACACAAAAATAACGCATTTAATGTGCACGACTCCCTAAGCAGGGGAAACAGCTAGAGGTAATGATGAAGTAGTTGAGGTTGTTGGGAAACCCTTCGTGTCCTCGGCGTCAAAAGATCGAAGGTTGGGGGGCAGTTGATGGGACTTTTCTAAAATACTCCAAGATGAAGACACGTGTCCTCGGCGTCACTAAAAATCCTGTTAACTGAGATCATGTTTCATCGGCTTACAAACTCCCTCGCCCCCAAGGTACTTGACACGTGTCGAGTACGTTTACGAATCGACACGTATGCCTCGGTCTGATATGGTACCTCGATCGTCATGTACAGCTTCCCTCGGCTCGAGATGTACCTATCCTCGGTACCGAGATGTACCCCCGTCCAGGATGCCTTTTTCTCTGCTCCAGTATAAACTATTGATGTACAGGTCATTAGCCTAGGTTAGCTATCATGGTCTCGTCTTACACAATTGGTGTCAGAAGGAACAGGAAGGCAGGGTCCACAGCCAATGAGGGATGGACGCGTGGCAAATTGTGTCACATTAGAGACAGAAAGACCGCATGCCCTTACTGACACGCGACTTGGGAAATCAAACATTTAATTACACCATTCCCTTGATGAGACCGCATTCAATGCGGTAAGGCTCGGAATTGAAAGACAATAAATGTCTCTAAGGCTGGGTATTTATTGCATCCTCCCCGAGTGGAGATCATTAGACAGTTGACAGCCCGATGACACAGCATTGATTGCTCGGGACTCCGAACAGTTAATGAAGGGAAGACATTCCTCATCAGAATCAGTGCGCACACTGTCTGTACCTAATGATCATCTACTGACAACACTGACAGCAATCATGAGCTTTCGAGGTATAAATACTCCTCGTAAAAGGTAAAATGGTATGCAACAAAAAACTCTTGACTACGAAATATATTCAGTGCTTTCTTCTTCCTCTCCTTTTCAAAAACTAACTTGATCGTCAGAGGGGATAAACCGGAAAACACTCTGGCGCCCTTCTAACTTGTTCTCTTTTGTTCCAGGAACCTTTCCCCAGCCTTACTGGATCATTCCTTCAATCCACGACGGTCTCCCGTTGCCGTTCCAGGTTACCACCGGACCTCACAGGCTGTCCCAAGCAGCGTGGTTGACCACTCAACTGACTCACTCGAGTTCACTAAGGGAGAGATCTGTTCTCGTTTTTTATATTGTGCAAGATCCTGCACGCACAGTTTCATTCGTGAATTATCAGCCAGGGTATATAATTGCAGGGGACGTCAACTCCGGAAAAAATAAACTTAAAAATTCAACAACTGTTAACATTTTTTGAACCCCAACACCAAGGGCTCAAAGAGGAGACGAGTACAAACTGATGTAAGTTACAAAAACAATAATTCCGATGGCTAGACAAGAAACAAAAAAGAAAAAGAAAAAGAATCAATCATTATTAAGCACCTTATCTATATTCCATTCCTTGGGACAATAAGATGTATGAGTGACACAACCCAATAACATCTCAAAACAGAGCCACAAACTGAATAGTTGAGCAAAACTAAGTTCCATCAAATTAACCCATAGAAAACTAGAACGAGCAACTAAGCGGTGGTGGCTGCCTGGGCTGCATGTCTATTTCGAGCCTCTTGGATAATAGACAACTTGATAACTTTTCCCTTAGGTAGAGACACCCAAGGCTTTGTACCTTTGCCAATAGTGAAAGCATTTCCCAACCGAGTAGCAAACTCATGACCAAGGGAATCCTGGACGTGGATGGTCTCAAAGGTCCCCTTATGCTTCTCCCTGTTCTTAATGACTCCAACACTCACGTGCTGTGTTTCTTCCACCCGTCAGCCTCACAACATTCCCAACATCAAATTTTATGAAGTCAGTGATCTTGCTGGTCTCTAAATCCAATTTGATGGTGTCATTGGATTTTATGCGAGGATCTGGGTTCCGGATGGGTCGCCCATCATATGTGTTGATGTTGGAATTCCTTTCTGCCCAAACTGCACTGATCGGACCTTGCAGAGCTTGAACTGCAAGATGGGAGACATTGCTGAATTAGAGATCAATGACCAACCCATAAATGTCCTGTGGGAGAATACCCAGTGCAAATATAAATCGAACCTAACAACCAAATTTTTCACCACGGATCCGTTTATTTAGCAAGATAACGTATAAAGAGAAAATTTTCAAATTTGTAATGTGTTTGGTAACTTTGGTTAGCGAAAAATGATGGAAAAAATAATTTTCTTTAATAATTAGACATTTCGTTTTTTTTAAAATACAAGGAAAAATAATAAAATTGTGATCTATAATCTAACTTTTTTTTTACCCTTATTTTCCTTAAAATATCAATTGATTATTAATTTTGAAAAAACTTGATATAGGTTAACCATATAGTCTAACCCAGATAGATCAATCCTTGTCTCAAAATTAGATTAGGAGCCACTTTTTAAAAAATTTTAACTTTTAATTACAAAATATTTTTTTCTTTTTTAGACTGATTTAACATAACTAAGAGTATCTCCAACCGTAACTCAAATTTTTATTCAAATTTAAATGAACATTTGAGTAAAAAGTTTGATTTGATACAAAGGGCTCCAATGGACAAATTCAAATTTAAAAAAGGAGAAACCCAAATTTAAAAAAGAGTAAATATAACTATTGGATCTTTAAAAGAGGGTGAAATCACACCATTAAAAATTTGGATAAGAATTTAAGTCTCTTGATTTGAGTAAAAAAATAAATCTCCCTTGATTTGTTATAAGTTTGAGTTAAAAGTTGAAACAAGTTTTTTGTACTTTTTTACTCAAATTTAAATTTGAATTTAAGTTTGAGTTAGTATTGGAGATGCTGTAAGGATAATTTAGACAACTGCAAAAAAATTCTTGTAACTTTTCTTTTTTTCTTTTTCAAATAATAGGAAGAATTTTTTTTTAAACTTTCTTACAAGTTTTTCGTACTAACTGAACACATGTATCAAAATATATTTTCTTTCACTGCACTTTCTATCACTTACATTTTTCATTATTTTTTTCTTCCTAATCAAACATACCTATGTGCCAGAGATGAGCTAGGCACAATCCACTGATAAAAAGAGCAAAAAAAAAAGTCTAATTTAAAAAAAAAAAGAACAATCAAAACCTTTGTTCAAGGTGCTGGTCTTTCTCTAATATCATCATCTCAACTCCAAAAATATGTTTCATAAATATCATATTACAGCAGCAACTGTATCAAAATATTTTAGCTAGTAGATCTGTTAAACAATCTAAGGTAGCCCATCCTGAGATAATCTACTTCTAGAGCATACTATCATAACTCATAACAAATATACAAAATATCAAAACATTACTCGCAGAAGAGAACATATTAGTTATAAAAGAGAGATCAAAACATAAGCAAATAAAGAGCATAGACAAACCTTTGCCTCTTCATCCCTAATTGAGTGGAGACGAAATCATCCCATGGTGTCATAAATAAACACTGCTATGTAAATAAACCAGATAAAAACTCATACTAAATAACCAACAATCATAAATTTACATACCCATGAAGCCAGCTTTATCCGTCCTAACCTTCGCATCAACCAACACATGTCGTTGCATCAAAATGGCAATGACCTCACGGTATGTATGTAAGAGCGTACTTCAACCTGTTTCGAAGAATAAGGATCAATGGCTCCCTTGATTTATGAGGCCCAGATGATGGCTTGGGGGCCTACAGAAAAGATTTGAAACAATCAAAAATAGGGAAAATAAATGAGCTATGGACCGCACAGTGCAAGAAAAAGCGAAACAAGTGGACTGTTTCTCACTTACAAATGCTCCACCAAGCTTGTCAAGCATCCAATGCTTTGGGGCATTGAGCCGCTTCAAGTGCTTCTTCAATCCTCTAGCCTGTAAAATAAGATCATTGGTTAAAAGAGTTTCAGCAACCAATAGAACCAAGAGAACATCAAAGTTCATCAGCCAATATTCTCTGTTACAATGATTAAACAAACATACAGCAAGCTTAATTTCTACCTATAATTTTTTTTAAAATAGTGTCAGTTTTCTCAAAATACATAACTCGACAAAATTTTCTCAAAATGTCTACACTATAAACAATGTATGAAATAAAAATTGTGTTAAATTACAAATTAATCAAATATTAAATAATTAAACACATGATAGAATTAGGTGATGTAATATTTTTTTGGAAAAAAAAATATATAGGGAATACAAATTTAACTTGCTAGTTAATTTATTATATAGATATATTAGTTATAATCCGTGCTTGAAGACATGATAAAACATAAAATTTAAAAGTTCAAAAAATTGATCCCACTATACCAATGGATAACTTTTTATTTCTTTGTTTCTTTAATTACATTATTTAAAATTAATTTTTACCTATTATTTTCTTTAAAATAGTGTTAAAATTTTCTCAAAATACATAATCTAACAAAATTTCCTCAACATGTGTACACTATCGTGTATAAATAATGTATGAAATAAAAGCTGTGTTAAATTACGAATTAATCAAATAATAAAGATTGAACATATGATAGAATTGGGTGATGTGATTTTTTTTTTTTGGGAGAGGGGGAGGAATATATGTATAAGATAAAAATTCAAGTTGCTAGCTAATTTAGTATACAGATATGTATATATATACATGAGAGAGAGAAATAAAATAGTACTAATATATATATAAATATAAATTGATATGGGAGAGATAATTTTAATATTAGTCAAACTTCTAAAATTTAAAAGTTGTTAATTTTCAAATTTGTTTTAATTAAATATAACTACTGAAAGTATTTTGAATAATAGAGATCAAAATAGACTTAATATTAAATAAATTTCTTTGATGAACTTATCACCAAATAAGTCTGCAAAGGAAACTGACCTCCAAACTTCCCTTTTTTTTTTTGTAAAAATTGAAACCAAGTATAATATGATAACCTATTTTGCCAATCCGATCTTTAAGGATAATTAAGAAAAAAAATTTGAAATTTTTGGTAAGAAAGTCCAATAGTCTCTTTACTTTTTTTTTTTATTTCTTATTTTGACCTCTAGTGGATCGTGCATATCTTTTCAAAACTCCTATCTCTTCCTTTAAGTTTTATCTCCTCTATATTTTATTTCATTATTTCTCTATCATTTCTCATATCTATTCCTTTAATTTTTTTCTAACTCTAACTCTAACTTTCTTCTACTATCTATCATTTATTTAGATTTCTCTCTCTCCTCTATCTTCTATATCACTTTATCTCTTTCCTCTCTTTTCCTGTATCTCTCTCATACCTTATTTAAATTTTTGTCTCTATTTCTCTTATCTTTTTCATTCAACTATTTCTCTGTTCTCTCACTTTCTTTTATTATCTTTCTTTTATCTCTTTTCTCCACCATGATTGTTGAAAGATTGTGTCAATCGTTGCCTTCAAAAAATCATTCATAGTTGTTGTAAATCTGAATGATTCATGGTGGTGATGTTCTTTTGCATAGCTCATATTGACAACATTTGTTAAATTCATCGATAATGACAATATGAGTTTATTTTTCTATCCAAAGTAGGACACTTTTTCTTTCTTTTTATATATAGAAGTTCATGTACACGTGCGTTGCACGTTAACTGTTATAATCTTTTTGTTATATAGGCTCATCATTTCATTTATGAAACAAATTTTTTAGACATAGTTACTATGTATTACTTATTATTTTTAAAAATGAGAATATTTTGAAAGATTTAAGTGATGGTAAATGGACGCGTAGAATATAATGATAATAAACTTATAAAATATAAATAAAATCTAATCCCAAATTTGAGCCTTTTTGCTCCAACAAACATATGTCAGACTTTTGTAAGAAGATGTTACTTCGGTTATCCTACATAAAGAGCCAAAAAAAATGACATAGTATTTAAGAAAAAAAACTGTGCGTTGGCAAAGTTAAGATAAGATGTCAAAGATTACCTGTATAAATACCATCGTTGCTTCACAATTGTTATTCTATATTTTTTTGCCAAATAACAATATGATATCACTATTGTGATCAATGTATAATAGTCTAAACCCCCACATGTCTAAACTATCAACAATTATCCAATTAGTTTCGTTTTATATTTAACGTCTCTATTTATATCCTAAATCAAAATATAAGAATAATAAGTATATTTAGTCTCCAAATAAGTATAAAAGGCTAAATATTAAAAGAGAAAAAAATATAACATTTTGCATTCTCATCAATTAGCTAACTTAGAGGAATTGAAGAAAAATGTTGATGGATATACTAGTTTTACATCATGTTGTTATAAATGATTCTAGGAGACGGATGATAATTTAGTTTTGGTTAATGAATGATGCTAGACATGAATCTTTATGCAAGTCATACTATTTATATTGGAGATGAGTATGAGATAGAATTTGTGACAAAAGAAACCCAAACTCAAGTGAGACAAGTATAGAAGAACCAAGCAGTCTGACAGACTACTTTTCACCAATTTGATCATAACTCTTTGTTGAAAAGTCCAAATTGTGCACCTTTATTTTTGTTAAAACCCTAACTAGAAATACCTGAGTCAAATTAGTTTATTCTCCGAAGTTGATCAAAAAATCTGCACTGTGGTGTTCCTTAGATGGTAAAGTGTTGTGTTTTCTTCTTAGACTTGGAAGGTGTGAACCCTCACATGTTTATATTAATATAGTAATGTACTTATTTAGTGATTCTTATATATGTAATGACGTAAGAATAAATCATATATATTGAAACCGTAAGAATAAATACTAGAGAGGAATAAAATAATAATTTTAATGTTTCGAGTATAAATTTATTTTATTTTTGAAATAAATCATAAAAATAAATATTTTTAGGTTAAAATAACATTAAAAATGAATCCGGAACGTCGAAAAATCTTAGGGTAGTCATATAGATCAAATTAAAGATTCTTAGTGGCAAAACCATAATTTTGGAGAAACCAAAAACAACCTGTGAACAGTAAAAATTGGGGCTGCTGTGTTTAAAAACCCATTTTCATCCCATTTACTCCCATTCTCTTCACTCCACTCTCACCCCAAACCTCTTGGAACCTTAGAGGAAGATTAAGGAAGGAAGAAGAGGGAAGAAGGAGGTCACTAGAGCTTGGGTTATTGCTTGAAATTTTGATTCAAGTAGGAGTTTTCTTTCATTCTCTTACATTGAGGTTAGAGTTATACATATATGTTTTCTTTGACTCTACATCATATTAATATGCTATGAAATCATGGATTCTTGATGTTTTTGTAAATGTTAGCATGTTTTAAACAATGGAATGGTTAGATAACCATAAAAGTTCTTTTCTCATATTCAAAACCCTAAATTTCAAGAGAACTAGGTTTTTCTCTTGATTTCTCCTTTATTCTTGATTTCAAAACTTTAGTGTTTCGTATTGAACAACACAATGGTATTTATGATGATCTCTTATTAATTTTTCTTAAATTTTTCCATTGTGAAATAAATGTGAATTTGGATGTGAAAAATTGGGGATTTATGGAATTGAGTGTGTTTGAAAAATTGTTGGTGATTGTATCTCATGGAGGTGTTTGGATGACCATGAGTGGCTATTGATCGGGTATCATAGAATGGGTAGATGTGTGTGGTTCTTACTCCGTGTGGGTTTGAATTTTTTCTACCACTCGTAGTGGGATTGGTGCCTTGCGAGGACCAAACCACTATTAGCTCATGGGTGCCATGTAAGAGGACTAGTATACTATGCCTGGGTCGGATTCGTTATTGCTGGTGCATTGGTATGAGACAATGCATCGGTAGGCGCCATTCCCAAAGTTGATATCCTTGCGAGGAATTGTGTGTGTGTAGGCCAGGATATTCTCTATGTGTTTATTCATGCGATTATCTTACATCAGACTTGAGATACATTGTGATTATTGTTTATTGCGTTATCTTTTGGATATGATTATCTTGAAAATTGTTGTGGGAATAATTATTCTTTGGAATGGTTATTTATGGTGGGATTGGCTTTACTCTTGCACTTAATTATTGTTAATGTATAAATTTGAGATCTTTGAAAATGTTATGTTTTCTTTCAAATTTTATGTATGCTATTTGTGAAATGAGACCGACCATTTTCTATGTTTTTCAAACCTTGTTAGAGTTTGAGAGGATTTTCCTACAGTGCGTAAAGCTCACCCCCTACCAATAATATTTTTTTTTTAGATTTTGTGCTAGAGAAAGATCTCGGCATTGACGAGCCAAAAAATTGGGAGGTTCCACCAGAGGGGAACCTAGATCCCGAGGTGGACATCTAGAACTATAGTTTATTTTTGTGCTAGACTAAGGAATTTATTTACAATCATTAGTCTAGTATTTTATTTATTCCGCTGCTAAGTTTGAGTGTAATTCTTTTGGAATATAAGTGTCATAGCTTGACTTATTTTTTTGGGATGATATGGTGGATATTACATGTGGTGAATGAAATTTTATTATTTGATGGATAAATGGACCCGGTGTGGTCAATATTTATTCATATATGGACCCAGTGTGGTCAATGTAGTATAATTGTACAAATTGTGTTTTGGGGTAGAGCTCCCCGTACAAAGGAGATTCTACCCGAATTTTGTTAAATTAAGGACCCCCGATTTTTGGGTGTTACAAATTTGGTATCAGAGCTTAGGAATTAGGTCTTATATGGGAGCTGTAGGTTATGGATTACCACTAGAAAAGTAGGACTAGGTTGAAGAAAATTGTTGATCTAATTTTATATGAACCATATGCTTTAGATCAAAGTGATAACTAGGATGTCTTGTACATCAATGAAACTAAATTGTGAATTGATGTGCAGGATGGACGGTGGACGTGGACATGGGCGTGGTCGGGGAAGACAAGCAAATCCACCATCACCACCACCTCCCAATGCCATAAGCAGCATATATCAATGTTTGAGGGAGCTCACCACTTTGGTACAAAATCAAAATGGAAACAACAACCAT